AGGAGTCTGTTCCAGACTGCATTTGTCTTTTGCCGACGCTGAAACTCTGGCACAGGATTGGGAACGTTAGAAGCACTGTCTGACGCGTCTGCCTCCGCGACCCGAAAGGAGAAGGGGCGATGGAATATGACGATGAAGATGTAGTCACAATATACCCAAAATTCCGTGGTTACTTTGTGCATTTGTACGCCTGTGCAACAAGTACAAGCTGAAATTGAGTGACACAGAGTGTGCGTATGAAAGTTGAGGAAATTTTGTGTTCAAAAGTGAAACTGATGGCAGCGTCACAGGAGAGTCTAAACGCCAAAAAATGACATAACTGAGTAAAGCGAAATATGACGCGTTGACCACTTCCAGCAATGAGGGAGTGAGTAGTGAATTTTCTGTTTTCCAGTGTAAATTTTCAGTGTTATTCGGTAACTTTGATCTGTGGTCACCCAACTCACTAAGCTGCCTTCACGCTCTTGCTCGATCAAAAACTATGACATTCCAAACACGTGGCATCGTCACAGAAATCAGCGCCCGTAACATTAGTTCCACTGCCGGGATGTGCATTGCAAAATGTGGAAGTGTACTTTATTTTCTATTTCCTTTTCTAGAGGAAACGTCAAGACAGTACTTCCTGGAACGGTCAACACGTAGAACGTGTTTAAAATTTTGCTGTTGTTTTGCAGACCACGATTAATCAGTACATCACCGCATGGAAAAAAATGAAATTCCTCTTCTGGTGACGACAATACCTCACCTGGAGACTCAAGTAAACGCTAATCATTCAGATGGTCAATCTGTGTCAGCAGAGCGACTTTCAGTTGAATACAGATAGCAGCAGTTCGGGTTACACCTTGTGCTGATTATCACACTGAATAGTCAACCATCAGGCGAGTGAAGATAATTTTAACATTCCCTCGCATTGGACAGCAAGATCGTTCCATTTGCTCATTCTGGTACGACCGCGCCAGAATGCCATGTCGCTTTTGTTCGCAAATCCATGACTTGCCACACTTTCCTCTTCTGCCTGCACGGAAACGACATGATGTATATTCCTTTGTCAACGGAATTAGCGGTAAGGAGATATTTCTAATTTTCGGGATATGAACCCTGCGTCTCCAGAGTTCAGAAGCGACCGCTTACCACTGGGCTACCGCGCCCCAAATGTTAAGATGTCAGAGATCCGCGGAAGGAAAACATGGAACGGTCGTTGCTGACTGATAAATGACAGGTGCGGCACCGTCAGTCATGTATCCTTGATTCGGCTGCTGATCTTATGCAATATGTACTTCACCTTTACTCTGAAAGCAGGCCTAATATGCTTCAGAATATCGGTTTACTAACTGACGTAAGAGTTCTGTTAACTTTGCTGTTCGTTACTCCTCCCTAAAGCGATACTAATACTTTATTACTTTTCCGTTTATTCATAATTCGTGAATCACGCATGGTCATTTGTTATAGAGTGCAGTGCCATACGAAGAGTTGGACAACAGGCACTCATCGTCGGTACTCTCGTTTTCCCTCACTCGACTGCATCGCGCGCTTCAGGCGCTGTCACAATGTCAGGTGATGACCGGTGTAGTGTGTTGGGCTTTGGGTGGACTGTACATTGTCAACGAAGGTGTGTTGAGTAGCCTGTCGATCGCCATAGTGTCTGGCCTGTATTTCATGGTGAGCGGTTCGGTCGGCATCTGTGGTGCCACCAGCTACCGTCGTAGTCTGCTGGTCGCTTACGTCACCATGTGCTTCCATACGCTGATATTGTTCGTTCCATGCTTGGTTGCGTACTCCGTTTTGGCTATGTCGTTGAACGAAGACGGCTGCTACGTCAAGTGCGACTGGAGTACGTACGGATGCAAGATGCTGTGTCAGGGATCACTCGAATGGTATTGTTTTACTGTATCGTACGTTTGTCCGCGACGCCGTGCTACCATTTTTAACTACTCATTTTTCCCTCTGTTTGTGCGTCCGTGACATTGGTCACCTACTAACTCTTTTGTTTCTACACTGGTTCAGTTCCAGGTGCCACAACTTTCGGCAACTTTCATCATCCCTCTGTGATTTTTTCAACTTTTATTGTTATGACTTGGCTTAGGCTTATGCTAATGGCTTGTGCTGATTTTAGGCCAGCTTTGAGGCGAACCAAGACGAATTATAGCGTGAAATGCGTTACGCAGCATCGCAAAGAATCTCAGTAGCTGTGACATGATATCACATCAAAACACCATGCCATCGCTGGTGAAATTCGACGTTTGCAGTTTTATTGTTTAAACACAATCACGAAAGGAAGCCATTTTCGCCAGAGACCTAGCATAGTACAGAAACGTGTATAGAATTACCAAATAAAATTAAATGTAAAACTTAGCTTAATTAACTCAATGTACGAATATAACAAGGTTATCACAATCTCTATGATACGTAGTGCTGCAACATACGCTTAACAGTCAGACGAAACGATCAACAGAACAGTAACGAAAACAAAACACATAAATAGTAAATACAGCAGACCAAGGGCTGCAACACAACATGGAACAGGACAAAGAACGCGAACCGGTTACATTCATCTTCTTTATCTTCATCTTCCATCGCCGCTTCTCCTGTCCGGTCAAGGAACAGTCACAACGTTCCCGATCCTGTGCCAGAGTCTGAGCTTCGGCAAAAGACAAATGCAGCCTGGAACAGACTCCTTCCATATATTTGCACCAGATTATTTTTGGTCGTCCCCTTGGCCTTCTGCGTCGGATAAACAGTTGGAAGCAGTCGCAACACATGCTCAAACAATGACAGCTGTGATTTTTCAATCTGGAGAAGCAGAGGCTGCAGACCAAAACTCTTCCGCATGTCTGTATTCCAGACCATGTCGAGGCGCGTAAGACCAGAGATTCGTCGAAGAAAGCCTATTTCAGCAGCTCGGCTTCGAAGCTTCTCAGTTATGGAACATGATTCATGACCGTAGGTGAGCATACGGATAAAGATCGACTTGAATATCGAGAGCTTAGTTTTCAGACTGAGCTCTGCTTTAGTCATAATGGGTCAGGCTACTTCACGCAGAACGCCACTGGCTACTCCAATTTGCCGGTCGATCCCTTCCTCCAACTTTCCATCACTAGGAAATACACTTCCGAGATACTTGAGCTTCTCCACCTGCTCCACTGCCTCTCCGTTAATCTGAAGAGAGCAACGAGCAGGAGAACGAGAAAGCACT